TGGTCACCCAACACTTAATAATAGCCTCTACCTCAAGCGGTAGAGTAGCCAAATGGCTGGCTCACTGCTGCCAACTAGCCGTTCATTTTTATGTTGTAGTTCAGCCTCTGACCACTAGTTGGCAGCAGTGAGCCAGCCATTTGGCTGGCTCACTGCTGCCAACTAGTGGTCAGAGGCTGAACTACAACATACAAATGACCGGCTGGCAGGAAAGCTGACATTTTAAACCATAATAAAAAAATCGATACAGGGCTTTAGAATATCGATACAGTATCGGGAAATGAAATATTGCGATATTTCAATGTATCGATATTCTCTTACACCCCTACAAAACACTAGCTAAATAATCAGAACACTAGCTAAATAATCAGAACACTAGCTAAAAGAAGCCTAATATTAGCTAAAAATAGTAAAACACTAAGCTAAAACAGAGAAAAAACAATATCTTAAAGAAGCATATTAGCTAAAAAGAGTAAAACACTAGGCTAAAATCTAAGAAGCAAAACACTAGCTAAATAATAAAAACATTAGCAAAATAATAAAAACTATAATTAAACCTTTACTACAAACCAAGTATAGTACACGATAAACTTGGTTGAGTCCTCCATACGAAACATGATGAAGCAAACTTGACTATAAAGCTTCATGTCTTTAAATACTTAAGATGTACACAAGTTCAAAAATGCTTCATAATTAAAATGGACAGGATATGACAATTATTTTAAACCTGCTTTAATTGACCAGAATTATATATAAAAAAAGACAGATTAATAATATGGTGCGTTCTGGAGAAAAAATTGAATATAATTTGGAGAAAAACAATTAACATCTGCAAATTAGGACCTGGGGTCTTTGTGTGCTCAGTTTGCATGTTGTCCTCGTGCTTGTGTGCATTTTCTCCGGGCACTCCGGTTTCCCCCACAACACAAAACAATAGGTTACCTTCAGGCCCAGGCCTCCCTTGAAAAAGATCTGAGATCTCAACGGGACTAGCCTGGTAAAATAACAGTAAAAAAAAAAGGATTAATTAGAGAAGTAAAGAATAAATGGGGAAAATAAATCAGTATATGAAGAACTGCAGGAAAGTGAATAAGAATAATGGAAGATATATTCAGAATAGAAAAGGGTTGAAAGTACAAGAACCAGAAAAGTAAAATCAAATAATAAGCTTCATTTCTTTGATTACTAAAGGAAACAAAACCACAACTGAAAACAACTTTATTCCATTTTTTTCCCAAAAAGGAAGTAGATGATAAAACATCACAGTAACAATAAAAAAAAACAATTTTTTATGAAAACACAAAAGATGCATTCAGGTGAGACTTTGTGGCCAGAACCAAACGCTTCGACTGTGGAACCAAGATTCACTGAGGACACAAAAACAAAGAGAGACCGGGATTTACCAACTGATTTCAGCAGAACAAAGATATTTATTATATAAGATATATTTATTAAATGTTTGAAGTGGTCATCAGACCCTGAAGGATTACAGTTTGCTGACGTAGAAATATAAAACTATTATCAGCAGAACGACCATGTTGGAGAGATGATTTGGCTCTTTTACGTTTGTTTGACCCATCCCTACCAGGGCTAACTGTTGTTCTTAAAGGGATCCCCGATTAGTTGTAACATTAGACTTTATTTTAAACATTTATTTTAACTGTAAAATAAAGACTGTAAAAATACTGTAGGATGTCCTGATGCATCTCAGTAATCCAGGTAAAAAATCAAAAGGAAAAAAAAAATTGTATAGGTCTTCTGGACGGGTTCTTCTTTAATGAAATGTTTCGTCTCTCCTCCAAGAGACTTCTTCAGTCTGAGAGTTTCAGGCAAAATTCAGGCTTTTAAGTAGGGGTGTCCCGATCCGATATCAATATCGGATATCGGTCCGATAT